AATATTTTATGATAAAGGCTGAAAACTACACATAAAGGCTTTGCATCATTGCATTCAAGAATGTAACGGCTCACTGACCAACCTATTGATGACATCTCAAGAATTATGTAATGTACTCATTGCAAATCATATTAGCTTTATTTATCATATATTAATTTACAATTACATCCTAAGACATTTCACAGACTCAGTTAAAACAAATGATACAGACAGATTGGTTAACTTTTTTTATGTATTGCATCGAGTCATTGACTTACAGAATTAACTCCTTCTGGATGAGCATATGGAGACAGTAGACATTCACTTGCATCATGTCGCTGACATAGCAGAAGTCTCTCCTATCAAGCATGCTTGTAGCAACAGTGGAGAAAAAAATAGTGCTTTAATAGTGAGAAACTTCCAGCAGAATCAGACCCATTATGAACAGCAATCTGATCTAACAGACTAGAGACTTGAGTAGACCCCAAAGAAGAACACAGGCACTAATCTAAGGTTGTGCTCTGTGTTAAAACCCAAGCATTTTTTGGGAGTCACTTGCTAGTTTAGGGGGCCTTAAATAGTGTCTACTTTCAATTGTGCCTTAGGCCAGCTGAGATGGAGGTTGGGGTCTGCAAATCTAACAGCTTAACTCATATGATGAACTGCAAAGAATGATGCAAAGGAAAAAGATTCAGGGCTCAAAATAATCTAGATAGCTTGTGCAAAGACATTGGTTCTCCATGCTCCCACCTTGCTAAATGTTAAAGAAATGTCCTAACGATTGTTTCACCAATGATTACACATCAAGAAATAATTGCATCAATATTGACTCTGAAAATGTGTAGTCAAAATATTATTTTGCATCTTACTTGAGTGATAATATGCTTCTGTAACAGATGATTAACTTTAAGCCCTTTTCCACCTTTATCAAAAACAGTTACCTTTTTCAAAGGCATATTTAAGATTAGAAGGCAATCTATAAGACAATGCTGCATTTGTGTAAGTCTTTGGTATCTTATGCAGCACATAGCCATTTTTACAGAAAATAGTTCATTTCTTGCTTCAGGTTATCTTAGGCACAATTTTACACTTTTTTAGTTTGGTTGTGAAGCACTTTCAGAACCAGGGACATTGCCCACTCTCAAAATCGAGCCCACAGGGGGGGAAGAACTGATGGCAGCAACACTCAGCACCAGTCTGTAGCCTGTGGTGCACTGGTTAGATCTGCTGACCTACTTCGGATTCTCTGAAAGCAAAAGCAAGTTCTGGACCTCAAGGCCTATATTGTGGCAGTTTTTAGTGTTGCAAAGAATCAGAGTAGTGAGAGATGTTGATGTTTTCTTCCTGCTCTACTAACTTGGTGAAACCTTTGCTTTTACATTGAAATTCTGCTTACCATTGCCTTGTTTCAGCTTAATTTCACACAAGGTTATTAGCTTTGTCATACACTATATTGCCAAAAGTATTTGCTCACCTGCCTTGACTCACATATGAGCTTAAGTGACATCCCGTTCCTAATCCATAGGGTTCAATATGACGTCGGTCCACCCTTTGCAGCTAGAACAGCTTCAACTCTTCTGGGAAGGCTGTCCACAAGGTTTAGGAGTGTGTTTATGGGAATTTTTGACCATTCTTCCAGAAGCGCATTTGTGAGGTCGCACACTGATGTTGGACGAGAAGGCCTGGCTCTCAGTCTCCGCTCTAATTCATCCCAAAGGTGTTCTATCGGGTTGAGGTCAGGACTCTGTGCAGGCCAGTCAAGTTCATCCACACCAGACTCTGTCATCCATGTCTTTATGGACCTTGCTTTGTGCACTGGTGCACAGTCATGTTGGAAGAGGAAGGGGCCAGCTCCAAACTGTTCCCACAAAGTTGGGAGCATGGAATTGTCCAAAATGTCTTGGTATGCTGAAGCATTCAGAGTTCCTTTCACTGGAACTAAGGGGCCAAGCCCAGCTCCTGAAAAACAACCCCACACCATAATCCCCCCTCCACCAAACTTTACACTTGGCACAATGCAGTCAGACAAGTACCGTTCTCCTGGCAACCGCCAAACCCAGACCCGTCCATCAGATTGCCAGATGGAGAAGCGCGATTCGTCACTCCAGAGAACGCGTCTTCACTGCTCTAGAGTCCAGTGGCGGCGTGCTTTACACCACCGCATCCGACGCTTTGCATTGCACTTGGTGATGTATGGCTTGGATGCAGCTGCTCGACCATGGAAACCCATTCCATGAAGCTCTCTGCGCACTGTTCTTGAGCTAATCTGAAGGCCACATGAAGTTTGGAGGTCTGTAGTGATTGACTCTGCAGAAAGTTGGCGACCTCTTCGCACTATGCGCGTCAGCATCCGCTGACCCCGCTCCGTCAGTTTACGTGGCCTACCACTTCGTGGCTGAGTTGCTGTCGTTCCCAAACACTTCCATTTTCTTATAATACAGCTGACAGTTGACTGTGGAATATTTAGGAGCGAGGAAATTTCACGACTGGATTTGTTGCACAGGTGGCATCCTATCACAGTTCCACGCTGGGATTCACTGAGCTCCTGAGAGCGACCCATTCTTTCACAAATGTTTGTAAAAACAGTCTGCATGCCTAGGTGCTTGAATTTATACACCTGTGGCCATGGAAGTGATTGGAACACCTGATTCCAATAATTTGGATGGGTGAGCAAATACTTTTGGCAATATAGTGTATGTTAACCTTAATAATAAAAAGAAAATAAATCGCTGATTAATTTACTCCAACCATAGTCATAGTACAACCAAAATTTATTGTAATGAAGATTTATTATACAAACATAAAAAGCATTTAATGTTGGGATCCTCAGGCTTGCCCACCAGAGGGCGCCGAGGATCCTCTTCTGCTCTCTTTGTTTTTCCCTTAGGTTTGGAGTTACTGTGGGGATCTGGAGATTACCCTCTGTCTCCAGCAGGATGCGCTGTGGGTCTTCTGGAGCTGGAACCTTTCTGCACACCTGTTCCTAATCCTCTCATTAGAAGACCTCTCCTTTATAAGCTCCTGCCTGACCTTGATCCCACGCCGCAGTGTTGATCTTAGTTGGTTAGCTTCCTGAACCTCTGTTACAGGTGAATCTTTGTTATCTCTAGTGTGAGATCAGATTCTAATTCTTCCTTGTCTCTGCCTCACAGGAATCCTGTCTCTTCGAGAAAGCTCTGGATGAGCTTAACCTCCTGTCTCTTCGAGAAAGCTCTGGATGAGCTTAACCTCCTGTCTCTTCGAGAAAGCTCTGGATGAGCTTAACCTCCTGTCTCTTCGTGAAAGCTCTGGATGAGCTTAACCCCCTGTCTCCTCGTGAAAGCTCTGGATGAGCTTAACCCCCTGTCTCCTCGTGAAAGCTCTGGATGAGCTTAACCTCCTGTCTCTTCGTGAAAGCTCTGGATGAGCTTAACCCCCTGTCTCCTCGTGAAAGCTCTGGATGAGCTTAACCCCCTGTTTCCCTGTGAAGCTCTGGAAGAACTGTCTCTCTGGCAACCTGTCTCTGGCCTGCAGCTCTGGGAGAGTTGCATCATAGGAAGCCAGTCCCAAGCCTGACGCTGTAGGAAAGCTAACCTGCTAATCTGCCCTGGTGAGCCAACCCTTGAAGTCTACGTGGATGCTACCTGTCGACTCCCCTGTGGAGTTTCCCTAAGAGGTTCCCATGTGGATTTCCCCTGTTGTTTCCCTGCAGTGAGCTGGAAGCTCAAATCCAGCCATCTCCCTTTCCCCGCACAGACCCCAGCGAATCAGTCCCCTGCCTGAGCTGTGATTCATGTGCTTGAGCCTTTAATAAACTCTTTGGACTTTTACCAGTGCCTCCGTGTGTGTTCTGCATCTTGGGCTTACTCTCTGTGACACCCATCATGACATTTAATGGTTTGGTAAATGAAAGTGATACATGTTTCTTTTTAAACTTTCTTAAAAGGAAAATTTGAAACTAGTGCATTCATTGTATGTACTCATCCCCCTTCATTCCCTTGACGTTGCTTTATAAAATCATATCCAGCTATATTGCCACAGTTTAGATGAAATCATTTTAATGTATTAGAATAGAATATAATTAAACTTTATTGTCAGTACACTGTCACAAGTACAAAGCAATGAAATGTTGTTTAGAGAGTATCTGTAAGAGGCTATAAAATAAATATGGAAGCTATATACAGATAACAGGAAAGTTAGGATATGGATTTTATATATATATTAGCAGGGTCATAATAATAATTTTTTTATAAAAAGATACATTCTGAATAAGTTAGAAAGCATAAAGAATCTGTTTGAATAAATTTTGTTTAATGGACAAGATTGTAGAATTATAGCTTTGTGTTCCCGCTGCCAACAGCAAGCAGACTTAAAGGCCTCTATTATCCTGAAAAATAGCTTTGTCGGGTTCTCAAATTCCAGCTGTGGCCCTATGTCCTTTATTTAGTTTTCAATTTCTAAGAATTAGCACACAGTATTATAATGAGAAACTGGGTCAAACTGTGTGTGAGGGAATTTCAGAGAGACAGCAGGGGGGGTGCATTCTGCAATACATCTTTATCACAGACTCAATGGAGAGATGGATTAAAAAGCTTTATTCAAACTTGCATGATCAGGCATTACATTAAAAACCAATAAGCAACATCAAAATCGTTCAGTTAACAAGACATGGACATAAAGAAGGACCTTTCTCATTCGTACTCTTTGATTGGCTAAGCAGGATGAAACTGGTGGGAATTTGATATAACTGCTGAAGCTTATTGTACAGTATGAGTGGCAAAGTACCTGCAAGAAAAAAAAGACAATAAATTCACTTATAGTCTACACTGAGCACAAGTATCTCCTGTGCCACTCAATCACAGTGAATACAGAAGATATCAAAAAGTTATGTTGTATAAAAAACACAAAGTAGAAAGCAGTTTCATTTACTAGTTCATAACAGAACCTCCCTTCTGAGTCTTAAAGTTCCTACCATACAAGCAGCTCAAGATATTGTAATCTGGGGAAACTTATTTATTACACCACACACACCTAATAACAACAACAAAGGAAACGCTGTTTTTTTTTTTTTTTTTTTTTTTTTTTTACCCATTCCCTGGGATTATTCTGTTGGGACAGAAGTTGGGTCCAACTGGCGAAACACTGGGTCACAATTGGTGACTGTTGATTGCAAAACAGATATAACCTCCTAATGGCCAGTTTTTAAATATACAAAAGCAAATCTGACTTCTCTGAACCCCTTCCACATCATTCAATAAGGAATAGTAAGATGCAAGAATAATTATACAGCTATGTTTAATCACTACATCTTGATTTACAAAGGAACGAAGAAGTTTAAAACCTTATTGTAAAGTTTATTAGCAATTCTGGCACAATAGTGTTACTTGTTTTAGTCAATTTTCATTTAGGAGTTTTACACTAAATACTGGGTTTTTGCTGTTGGGACAAAATATAGGTTGGGTTCCCTAAACACTGGGTCTAAAAATGCATCCATGTTGGCCAAGACAAGAGAATATATCAGGCTTACAATTTCAAAGCTGCAACCATATTGGAACCACAAATCCCAATGATTTTTTTCTAAAACTTTAAATAGGAAATGGTAACAAATTACACTGCATATTGAATGCTAAAGAAAACCTGGAACTTTTGTTAGTTCTAATTTATTTTAGCTATGTTAAACACAATTGACTCTGGGCAACAGAATTGGTCATAAACTGAAGCTAAGAGCATATATTTATTTCTGCTTTAAATGCTCCTGAAATTGTGTTTTTACATTACATTGTGTTTTGGTGGTGGTATTTGTACAAACAAAAAAGTTAATCAAAACTATTCTACAGAAAATAAAAGCCATTTGAAGATATTACATTGATGCAGTAAAGTAATTCCAGTGTTCATGTGTTGTTTATGCTTCTGTTCATTCAAAATAAGTTTGCTAATTTAGGATAGCATTAGCATCTTCCCTATTATGAAGCTAGAACAAGTACTAACCTTGCTTTTTCAGTTTTTGACCAAAGAACTGTTTAAGAAGTCAAAGTAGGCAGGTTAAAAAGCCAAATTCATAAGAATTTTAACTTTTCTTGCAATTTTTGTGGATACATTTGACTGCTTTAAGATTTGAATTTTGAGAAAAGATATGAACAATTTAGGAAAAGAACAGCAATTTAAATAAAATTGTCATTTAACGGGGATTATGAATTTCGCTGTGTCAAAAAATACATTGATTTGGTATATTTAATATATATATTATAAATTTTCTATGAATACTTAAATCAAATATTGGCATAACTTAATTTAAGCCCAGATATTACAGCCCAGCTAGATGATTCTTATATTAGGTCGAACCCAAAACTACATACTATATTGGTTTGAATCAAAACAAACTTGAACTGGCTCATAGTTTATGCAGAACTTGATTAGCAACATAACCCTTATATATGTTCATAAACATATTTTTTCCTTAACACTGTAATCCATTGAGTGAGAACAAAATACTATTGTTTCAGTTGTCAACAGTCTTTTACCAGGCAGAAGGCACGCATGGAGCTAATCATATGTGCAACCCGGTAAGTACATCATCACTGGTGAAATCAATCAGTTCTGTCACTGACTGCACATCTAACATGCACTTGACCACAAGATCCCTGGTTATTCATCTTGTTCAGTCTGACACACAGCCAGTGAGACGCTCTAAAAGGTGAGCAGCTTGAAAGAGAAGAAAAAGGGGGGTTACATTTCACTGACTCAGAGCGTGAAGCCGGATATATCCAGAAATACTCCCCTTTCACTGCATTACCGCAGAAGTGCTGCATGGGATTACATTTAGATTCTGTGCATATCCAAATTCAAACTGCTGTCATCTGCTTTATACTTTTTTTTTTTGCACTGTCAGCAGTCAGTACAGGAATACGGTCGCTATAATTAACACAATGTTCTCTTTCCTCTGCTAATCCAGCCTTCCTAAACTCACACCAGTATATTTGATTTAGCAGCCTAATTAGCACACGTAATAAGCTTCATGTAAGAGAGAAATTAAAGTCCTGAACTTGACAGTGGTGTAACAGCACTGCCTTTGAGGTCAAAAATGTTTTTTCTACCCTTTTTTATTCATGTACACAATTAAAACAACTGCACTGCACTCTAAATAAGCAAAATAAATTATTCTTTAAGAAGCTCACAAAAGCAGCAATAAATGTACATAAAATATATGTATAAAAAACATGAATATTTTCAAAGAACATATTGCCTCCACATCAAACCATTCACACCGGCCAAATTTGTACATTTCTTGTTCTTCTCCTGTATTAAACATAACTTTGATTATTTATATTCTATTTTAAATCTTGACCTTATATAACCTTTTTTCCACTATTTGTATAAATATCAATATATGCTTTTACTTTAATGGGTGGTTTTGGGGGAAAACCAAAATTGAACGTTCATTGATCTTTTATAGAAAATATTTGATTTACAGCCAAGTTGGTTTTGTAAAATGGTTCACCAATTGTGTATGATGTATTTATGAGATGCACTTATCTGACTTAACAATGGCAGACAATACACCTGCTCTCACATCAACATGGAGAGATGGGCTAATTGTATGCAATCCATGTAAATGTCTGTTTTTCTCAGAAACGTTGATTTTGCATTGACATATAACGACTGTTAAAAGTTTACATGCAATCCATTAAAAAAAATATTTTCATATACATTTTTGGCTTACAGTGATACGTTTGTCTAGTTATTTTTTTGTCAAATGGGTATGATGTTATATAAGCAATTAATATAATAAATCCTAATAATAGAGCATATTGGAATTCTGCTTATCCCAACATAACCAGCTCCAAAATATACATAGACCACCACTAGTATTCAGAGAGTGTGAATGCCCCATTACAAGTTGCACATCAATAGTTTTATTTTTGTGGGTTAGAACTCAGTAACTATCAGATTTAGGACAGGGATTTGATCACACCTTACAGGAAGTCTTTGAAGTCACCTTCCAACCCCAAATATTGACCATTCAAATGAAAAAAACTTTGATTAGAATGTTAGAAAAACCCCAAAATGAAGGTCTAAACCTGTTGCTAGTGCTCCAAAATTTTCATCCTCAAGCACTGGAATTAGCAGCTACCCGCATGGATAGAACAACGTTTGTGGTGGGAGATTAATACGTTACGCTTCAATGATATAAAGAGTACCTGGATTGAAGATAAGCTTTTCAAGTTTTACATGAATAGAACAACTTGGTAGCACCATACCGAGGGGTCTGTTTCACACAAGGAAGAGATTTAGAAAAACATTTGCGCCCCTCAAAAGTGTTCAACTGCACCTTAGAATAATAGCTTCATTACTGAAATTTGGACAGAACTTGGCCTTACAGTAAGACGATCCAAACACATTAAAATGAATAGCCTACACTTAAATCTTGTTGGATTTTTCTTATAATGTACTTAAAAGTTAGGACCCATCCAAGAAAATCCCATTTTTTTAAAAAAAGCTTTATATTTTCTTCCAGGATGACGGATTTTATCTTATAAAGCCCTTTGAATGGTGAGTGCTGCTCTTTAGATGTTCCTATGATCTTGTTAAAAACTGCAAAAAACTTTTTTTTTTCTCTGCACAGGGAAATTCATCAAAATATTAGTTGGAGTTTATATTTATATTTGAGCCAAATACCTTGTATGGATAAGACAATATTCATTATAAAATCTCTCTCGTTTACCCAAGTGTTATATTATCAATCAAAGCTGGTGATCAATCCTAGTTCAAATAAATGGATCTATCTCCAATTTCATATCTCATGATGATAAGAGGATGTACACTCCTCACAATGTGTACATTGCACCTGCTGTTGTTTAGCCTTTTACTTTCTCTAATCTCATAACGACTCCCATATAACCTATAACAACTACAATCAAATAAGAAGATAAATTTTTGCTTTTTCTTTTACTTTTTTCTTTCATTCTTTTTGTCATTTTTTTTAGACATTCAGAACACACAAAAAAATCATTGTATAAAAAAATACCTAAAACTGAATCACTGGTTACTACTAGATAAAAGATTGAACCTTATCAAAGAGAAAAATTTCTCAATACAAAAAAAAAAAAACAAAAAACACCAAGTTTCATGCCTGAATCAATGTTATGACCGGCTACAATAATGGATATATTGATGGAAGAAGTATATTCACCCTGATTTATGTCTATATTTATGATTAGGCGTGTTTCAAACTCCAGTTTAAAATAAAATTATAACTTAGGTTTATTTTGGGCTACTGATTGCTTCTAGAATCGTAGCGAACTGTAATCCCTGGATTAAAAAGGCAAATTTAAGAACTGTGGCATTTTTAGACATACTCCACGAAACCTCAATAGTAATAGTCCAGGCATCCTGTAGCAACTGTTTTGTCCAAACACTAGTTAGTGTATGACTTTATACCTCATAGCAAAACACTGGCAAAGAATATGGGGATTAACCATTGATGTTGGTGTGTTGGATTAGTGGGAATATAGTAAATTAAGAACTGGAGCACAGAGACTAAGGGCAAAAAAAATCTTTTTATCTTCTTTCCAAGTCCCTGGGAAGTTTCGTCCTCCCGTGAAGAGATGGTTACATCACCGCAGGTCTCTTCTGGGCTCCTGCTGAGGGAAAGAGCATAAAATGTAGTCTAGAAACAAAGTAAGTCTTCATATGAAATTTTAGAAAGTCCTTACTCATGCAACAGTGGATTGTGACTGGTTACTGCCACCATAAACATCATGTGATTGGACTTTTTGCAATTACAGATGACTTAAGTGATTAACTTCATTATTTTAATGACAATGTTTAGGTTTTAATCAGTTAGGTCATTTTTTTTTTTTTTTTTTTTTTTATTACCAATGAGAATTTTTCATGTAGGACACAGAGAAAGTTATTCATGCACGCACAAACAGGCATAACAAGATTTAATTCTGGAATCCAGATTCAAAGCTAGGGTTTGGCACTATACCATTTACCAATATACTCCAAAATAGATACCTTACCCTCCGAATAAGTATGGTTACATTTAGGGCTGCAAATAACAATTATTTTGCAAATTGATTGATCTGTTGATTATCTTTTTGATTAATCGAATAATAATTGGATTGCAAAAGGTTCCTTAAAGAAGACTTTTTACGACATTAAAGCAGGTGAATCTAAAACTTTTCCACCTGAGGAGTTCTAAATAGAGCATATTGACATGTGAAAAAGTTTTTTTTTTATCTTAAATGCAAAATTTTGACATATTTTTTTACATTCTTTATATTTTTACTGCGCTAAGTCTGTTGCTCTGTCAGCTAAAGGCATGTTCCAGAGTCTCTATTCTCCAGTTAACAATTAATCAATTACTAAATTAGTTGATGATTATTTCAACAATCTGTTAATTACGATTCATTTTGATTAACTGTTTCAGCCCTAGTTACATTTGAGGTTATTGCTTTCTGATGCCTACTGTTGGGGAGGAAAATTGCACATGTGCTCCGCACTTTCTTACTGACTAACTAATAACTAACTACTGACTAACTAATAAAGTTTTAACTATAGAAGTAACCTAAATATTGCTTAATCTAAACAAACTTTTACAGCATAGGAAAGGCCAACTTAGTCACAAATAAACTACAATAATATCATTATTGTTTTTGTTTTTTAAGAATGCAGCTAAAACCTCTATACCATACTACCATCATTTATATTTTTCTAGAGTAAGATATCCCATACTGCCTACTAATATGTTTTATCATTAACACCCAATCTTTAAACAGTTTTAGATATGGCTAATATGCTTTGCTCTTAGGTTTCATTTATATATAAAAAAAGCACATTGCATTTATAGCTATTTATCACTTAAATTTTAACCCCAGGAAGAAGACCAATTTATCTAATCTTGCTATGATACATAAGGAATCCCCACAAAAAGCATAAATGAATTAAAATATCTATCAAATAGTTTAATACCCTGATATATATGGACAGATTGGTTTATCATCATAAACAATTCATCATACCTTTATGCAATTAACTTTTTATTCATATTTCAGATCAATTATATCCCATATGACAAAGCAGATGAAGTATATTACTATAGCACTTTTAATCTTATTAAATAAGGAACATATGTTTAAATAATAACAAGCTTCATACAGTTGTATGACATCATAAGACTTTCTTGTCAGATTAAAATATAACTTACCAAAATACATTTTGAGGAATAATCATGTTATTGAAATATGTATAGTGCCAAACCCTTTTACAATCAAATTCCTTTTGTCATCCTGAAAAGCGTGCCTATGTTGCATTTCTTTCTCCTCAAATTTGAAACATAGTATAACAGATGTTGTTTGAACCTAAAGATGACTTTCTTTTCCTGACAACTTGTTGAAACAATTCACTCCTTAATTGTGCCAGCAGCACAGAGAAATGCGGACAGCACAAATCTGACCAGCGGCCAATTTTAGTCTAATCTTGGTCCTTAACATAAGCTGGTGTTCTCACTTGATAGACAAGCCAATTCCCATCTCACGTTAGAATCAGATTGGAGCAGATTGTTGAATTTATGAGGGTAGATTTTGATCAAGCTTAAGCAGTAACATTGGATTCTGTTCTATTTAATCGGGGAAATATGTCGACCAAAAGAGATTACATAAAAGATTTGCACTGGAAATTGTGGCAGTTTATTTATTTATATCCCCATGAAGACTGCAAATCAAATAGAAAAGGACAGTAAATGTCTATAAAGCAACAGTGGCTCTACAGATTGTAGTTAGCAACCAGCATACCTCCAGTTGTAGAATGGACTTCCTTTCATTTTGAGTACTTAAGAACAGAAAGAAGAAACAAGTTCAGTAGAAGGTTTAGCATGCAAATGCAAAATACAGATACATTATAAACAACTGTACCCGCTCCCCCCCCCCCTATGTGCGCCTGTGCATGCATATTTATATTGTTGAATATTTCTGTGCATCACTTGGCTTAGTTTGCTTTATAGGACCAGCTGTAGGAAAAATAAACAACATCTGGATCATTCTCAGCTCGAACAAGTCGTCTCTGCACCAGAGTGCTGCTTGAGAATTATAACCAATCTCATTTAATGCAGCACTATTTTCTATCCTAGAAGAGAACCCCCTCCACTTCTGGGTTTCTTTGTAGTGCTCCCCCTCACACGCCTACAACCCATGCTGCGATTGTGTGTTGTGAATCTGCAATACATGACCTACATACCACATAAGACATCAAACGCTTGCAGATTTTGGAGGTTGAGGGGGTGGAAGTCTTGGCATAATTAAGACTAAAAATGCAGATAGTTTGATCTAATGATGAACAGTTAATCAAAATCAGCAAGCCTCCGTTACCTTAACTGTATTTCATACATTTATTCATGTGTAAGGATGGAGCAAGCTTTAACTTTACTTGCTATACTGTAGATGGAAACCTTTGTATGGAGAGCAGATTCATTTAATTTTAAATACATAAAGAAATACATGCTGTTGTTTTTAAACTGTTAATTAAAATTCAATCGAACAAATAAATAAGTCATGAAATTAAACAAAAAAATGATTTAAAAAGAAACTTTAAGCTTATCTTATCATTTACTTACTTTAAGCTGTATTCATGAATTTACATAACTCAAGATTATTTTTTTTATTTATTTTATATCTGTTTTAAGGTTTATTTATTTATGTCTTTATTTGAAGATTTACTTATTTGGTCATTTATGAATATATTTTATCTAGGGCTGCAACTGACAATTATTTTCCAAATCGATTAATTAGTTTATTATTCTTTCGATTATTCGTTTAATAAAGAAGAATCCTTGGATAAAGCATATTGACAGACTAAAAAGTTTGTCATTATCTTAAATGCAAAATGTGAAATTATTTATTTTCTATACAATTTTGATGTAATTAGGGCAGAGTCTCTATATACCAGTTAATGATTAATCAATTGATAAATTAGTTGGCGATTATTCAATAATCATTTTATCACAATTAATCAGATTAATGTTTCAGCCCCAATTTTATAATTTATTTTGTTGGTTTTTTTCTCTTTTATTTAGTAAAGCTATTTTTATATTAACTTTCATTTTCATGTTTTGATAATTTAATGAAGGGGTAAAGTTTCCTCTGTGGCATGGCTCTGGTCAGCTTTGAGAAAGTAGGAATGAGAATATTGCCCAGTTCTAAACAACTGGAGCTTCCTGCAGCACCTAAACACCAACAAACCAACTTTTAAATGTTCTGAAGTTTTAGTACATCAGTTTGTTTGTTTCCAAAACTTTTATCAGACTGCTAGAACTACATAACTATGGTCAAAGCATAAGCTCATTAAACCTACTATGGCTTACTACACTAAAAAAAGTGAATGACTTTTTGGTACAGTAAACTCTATTACCCCTTGCTCACACTGGCTCCGGTGCGGTTACCGAGCCGACGGAGACCGCAACTCCCGCACACCCCCTCTCAAACCGCCCTTTTGACTACGGTGCGGTGCGGCTCTGCGGCTCCGGCAACAGGTCTGGAGATTTAACAGAAGTTCACTTGAGTTCACGTAACTTCACGCGATAACACGGCCCAAACAAGGATATTTGCGAGAGCTTGTTGCGGAGGGCTCCGGCACGCCGCAAGGATAGCTTTCTTGCGGAATTTTCTGCAGCGCCGGAGTGTCTCGGTAACTGCAGCCGTACAGCTCAGCAGCCGGTGAGAGAGGTTTACGTCTTTTTAATGACTTGGAATCACTGCGGCGCCGCACCCACCGCACCGCAACGGTAAGACCGGAGTCTGTGTGAGCCTGGGGTTAGAGTATTCGTCAAAATTTCTACTCTGTATTTTTAAGCTTCAGTAAAAACTAGAGTTTCTGAAGTACAACTTAACCCTTTTTTAAATGAAACATGCATTTTGGGTAAATTTTTTATTTCATTATACCATTTAAATGTTTAATAGCATAAACCTAAAAATACTACATTAACTTCACTCTAAAAATGTAGCGTTTTGTAACGCATGCACGGTGCATGTGCACTGTAGCTCACAGCAGCACTGATTCTGCTCCGAGTCTAGATGTAACAGGACCACACACAGAGCAAGAGGTAGTCCCAATGACAGTCATTTTAGCAGGATTCAACAGTGCTGCAAAAGCCTGCTTGCTGCTCATGGGACTGATATATGCCCTGAACTTGACATACCCTCCCACTTTGCATTACACTTTTGAATTCTTCCAAAAACTTTCCCTGTTGGATTTAAACTGTCCCCAAAAGTAAACACCCTGAGGTCGAATTTTCCTACCTAAATGCATTCATGACTTGGTGGAAGGTTGACTGTCAATAAAGAGGTCATAGAATGCAAAACCGAGTTTACATTGCCATAGATGAATAACGAATGTTTAGTGGGTGAAATGCATGTACTGAGAAGTTCAAACCCCAAATCTTGCAAATCTTACAATTCTAAACTTCCTCCATAAAATGGGCGAATCAAACAAAGAACCAAACCGACGTCAATTCTGGGATGTTGCCTTATTTGGTTCTGGCCTGTACTTTTTTCACGCCCTGAAATTGAGATACAGACCAGCCCACATGTTCACTGGGGGGGAGGGGAATTATGAAGCTCGGCAGCTGACTGGACCGAACCTCAGCAAAGAACCATGAGTGGCCCGTCCTCAGATGGAGGAGGGGGGCTGGGGGTCGGTAACAGACATCCCAAGTCTCCCGGAAGTTCCAGGAGTCTCCTTGATATAGGTAGTTGTTCATGGATGCCCGCGAGTCGGATAAATTATCCCGGATTTTAGATTATGTAAGGTGGTGTTCTTTTAATGTGAGTGAGAGCGTGCAGGCAATACAATACTGTAATTTGTGCATCATGTGCGGATAAGAACTACTTCAATTGCGCAGACAACAAGAGAGAGCGGGGTGTGGGGAGGATGTTCCTTATGAAACCTGTGCGTATCTGTCCAAAGCGATGCTCTGTTCAACGAGCGTTCCAGGTGACTGGTTGTCAGAGTGCGCGCTGATTGGATTAGTCAGGAAAATAAGCCAATAAGTTTCGGTTTACTCTCTTACAGTCACCTTGTTACCACTAAAAGCTGTGCATCCTGTGAAATAGGTTGAATCTTTCAGTAAAAAATGAAAATATAAGACTAATTTTACAGCAGAATATACTAAAGTAAGTCCACATATAGTGAAGGTGAAGAATAATGAAGTGTGTATCTATGGGGAACGGTGCTCACAGCTCATCTAAATATTCATGATCATACCATGAAATGAAGAAAACCTGTCGTTTCAGTCTAGAGCTTATAACCAGGCTTGGATTAGGGCTCATAGAACAGCAAATCTGCCATTTTTCAGCCCAACCAATGTTACACACCCCATTCAGAGACCTTAAGGACCAGCACCAAATACCCTATAGAATCATTCTATGACCCCTTTAATGTTTTATATTTTTTGCCAAATAAGGCATATGTTATTTGGCAAAAAATAACAGATACCTTTATTCAAATATTTAGTAGAGATTTTATTCTTCATTAAGAATGGTTAGACAATTTAAGATGTTAATTTGTATTTGGGTTGATTTTGTTTCATTATTGTAATTGTATTCTTAAAAGTCCACTGGTCTGGACGATTAGTTTAAATGCTGAAATTGCGCTGTTTCAGTGTGTAGGTTTGTAAGATTTTTATCACATATTTGAGTAGTGACTATATTACCAGATCTGAGTTGGATGTGGTGTATACGAAATACTTTCTATTTGTCATTTACAGGTAATAACGAATGATTCAGAGGGTTGTACATTTTTTATTGTATATGTTAGAGGGCTGCTCAGTAGGGCAGTGGATTTCTATATGGTCTTTACATGTTCTCCCTGTGCATGCATGGGTTCTCTCTGGGTACCTCGGGTTCCTCCCATAGCCCACATGACTGTTGGGTTAATTGGCTTCTCTAATTTCTCCTAAGGCAAAGCGTGTGAATGGTTGTTTATCCTGTTTGTCTCTGTGCTGCCTTGTGACCTGTCCAGGGTGGACCCTGCCTCTCGCCCATAGACAGCTGGAGATAGGCACCAGCACCCCTCGCGACCCCAACTGGGATTAAGCGTGACAGAAAATGGATGGATGGATAGATTTCAGTTAGATGTGTAATTTCTGGATGGCCCATGAAAGATTGGGCAATAAATTCAATAGGGTACTTACGTCTTTGTTAAACTTTTTAAAACGAAAAATAAACTGTTCAATGTATATTAAATGTATAGATTATTGGTCCAATTTATTTGGTAACATTTATCAGAAGAAACTAGCAATGATTACCTAATATTAGTGAATAATGTAACAAAATGCAACAAAGTAAATTAATATCTCAAGCACAAAAAAAATGTATTAATATCTACTCAAGTATTTAATAACAGCAAATACTACAGGGGATATAAGATTTACTCAAAATTTTGAGTAAATTGTTGTTTGTGCCTATGAAAAACAAGTCTACTTTACTTAATTTGTTTAAATAAATCTAATCTACAACTTGGATATGATTTAGTAAATGTTACCTAATATCTTCACAACTGTTATGTTTTATGTAAAATAAAAATCACTTGATACTGGCAAGTTTTACTTGATATTGCAGCATTAAATTGTACTTAAATCATTTGTGTGCAAATACAATATTTTTTAATCTTAGAGTTGTTTTTTTCAGTGTACTCATTCAGTATGGGTATACTTGAGTTAAAGCTCTGACCAGACAGAGCAACCCTACATAGAAAGCTCCGGTCCTTTATTTAAAGAATTATTAAAATAAATTAAAAAAAGACACTGAAATAAAAGGAGCCCGGTGTTAAAAATAATAAGTCACTAAAATACGTAGAGAAGCTTTACAAAACAAGTGTCGTTTATAAAAGCACAATAATGAAACAGATCAATCTCAAATCGAATAAAAATATGTTGAAAAAAATAGAATTACTAATAAATACACTTAAAATATGATACACATTGAAGTTAATAAATGTGTAAAGACATAAGCAGATCATATTTTTTTTGGTAATACTTGATTTTTGGAAACATATTTATTATAAATCGAATTCTTATTTTATTTCTCTGTTTTTTATGTACTGGATGGATGGATGGATGGATGGATGGATGGATGGATGGATGGATGGATGGATGGATGGATGGATGGATGGATGGATGGATGGATGGATGGACAGACAGACATAGTTTGAAGGAGGAATGATTGGATTAAAGGATTGATGCACTGCAAAAAATTAAATCTTAATAAGTCATTTTTTCTTAAAATAAGTGTATTTTTTCTTGAACTGAGGAGGTAAGTGAGACACTTTGCCAATGGAACAAGACAATTTACATTTAAAATAAGAAAAAAACAATTGCATTGTCTTATTTCAAGTGAGTTTTATCTAATTATCCTATTTTAAGAATAAAAATACTCATTCCATTGGCAAATCCTCTTACTTACCTACTCAAATTAAGAGTAAAAACACTTAATTTAAGAAATCTTTACCTATTTCTAGATTGTTTTTGCAGTGTGATCAGATGGATGGACGTTTGTGAGGATGGATAAAAACATTTTTCACCATATAACAGCCCTGGGATTTCATACTCAGCATCAGAAAGTTGTTTTGTTTTCCATTTACATACATTGGTATGGTTGCAGCAGTTTCAATTCCACATTATGACCCCTTCCTCAGAAATACAGTCAAACCAATTAGTACAATTCACGCTATTAAGTGATTGTTAGATGTTAAGAATGAAAAAATGAAGAGATTTCTCTGAACCAAGCAACCATGTTTTTCTAAAAACACTAACAACTTTCAACAACAAAAAATATATTTAATCAAAATAGAGAAAAAAAATAGATGCAATATGTGGTAATAAAACACTAAGACCCTAAGCCATTTAAACATACCTCCAGTGTTGATGCTCTGGAGTCTGTGGTTTCACTTGGGCCTATGCTCCTGGGTATGCTGGATACAAAATATCCTGCTCCTTTGGGAATGATGGGTTGTCTCACCACCACTTTCCCCTTTCTGGTTTCGGCGAGGAACAAGCTATACCAGTAGGCATCACTGGAGATCAGGGTGGAATCTGCAATAGTGGAGCTTCTCTGGCTGATCAAGCTGTTTCTGTTGGCTGGGGGCATCTTGATGGCCTTTGGCTTTGGTTTTTGACATTTCAGGACAATGATAACCAAGATGGTTATCAGCAGCAGAAAGGACACAGCTCCTAGACCAATAACGAGGTACAGGTTTAGGTTTGTGAAGACTTCATACTCTAATGGTAACTCTGTTGTCTCTAAGAAGGTCATGGAATGCTCCACTGTTGATATCTTAATAGTAACAGTAGCAGACAGAGCAGGTTGTCCATTGTCTTTTGCTATAACCACCAGTCTCTGCTGTCTTGGGTCTCTATAGCTGAACATCCTTGTTGTTCGGATCTCACCATTGTACTGATCCAGGCTAAAGAGAGTCGAGTCACTGATCTGCAGCAACTGGTATGTGACCCTGGCATTCTGCTCAGAGTCTGCATCAATGGCAACCACTTTGGTCACCAAGTGTCCTTTCTCTGTGGACCTAGGTATGACCTCCTCAACCACAGAGCCATGGCCCCGCCATGGTGATACAATGATGGGATTGTTATCATTTTGGTCCAGAATGACTATATGAACTGTCACGTTGCTGCTTAGTGGTGGAACACCAGAGTCTCTAGCTTCAATGTGGAACAGGAACTCCTTTTCTCTCTCATAGTCAAAGGTCTTCAGGCCATAAAGATCTCCGTTCTCAGGGTTGATAGAGAAAAGCATGGACATAGACATGTTTACTATTTCTTTTTCCATTATAAAATAAACTAAGTATTGGTTTTCATTCAAATCTGGGTCATGTGCACTTAAAGATGTCAACAACGCACCAGGTGGATTATTCTCCATAACATGGATTGTATAGAAGGACTGAGAGAACATGGGAGCATTGTCATTGACATCCAGAATCTCTAAGGTGATGGTTTCATTTTCAGTTAAAGCTGGAGAACCTCTGTCTGTCACTAAAAGTTTGATATCATATCTGCCTTTGACCTCTCTGTCCAGCGGCCTTGACACCAGCAGCTCAAAGTAACCCTCTGAGGATTTGTTTAAAAGAAAGGGTAAGGCTTCCTGTTGGTTCAGGGTAAGGTCCACATCCCCGTTGTCTCCAGAATCTCTATCACTGACACTAACCACAGCAATCAGAGTCCCTACAGAGACATCTTCAGCCACTGATCTCTTCAGGGATTTGATGATCACTTCTGGGTGGTTATCATTCAGGTCCGTAACATAAACCATCACTTTACAATGTCCTGACAGCGGGTTTGCCCCTCTGTCCTTAGCCTGAACGTGCATTTCAAAACTTTGATTCTCTTCATAATCAATCACCCCCTTCACTCTGATCTCACCTGACTTTGGATCCAGGGAGAAGAGCTCCTGTGTCTTTTCTGATGTGTAAAGAGTGTAGGAGTATACCAAGTCAGCGTTTGCGCCTCCATCTAAATCAGTTGCGTTTAAGGTCATCACCACCGTCCCTACAGGAGAATTCTCTGAAACATTGACAGCAAAGACGGGCTGACTGAAAGTGGGGGCATTATCGTTGATATCTAGAACATTAATGATTATGCTGGCTGTGCCGGAGCGAGGAGGCACTCCCCCATCCACTGCAGTTAAAATCAAATTATGAATTGCATCCTCCTCTCTGTCCAGTTTAGCACTGAGCACCAGATCCACATATTTGGACCCATCGCTGCCAGTCTGGATGTTAATGCTAAAGTATCTGCTTTCACTCAGATAGTAGGTCTTGACTGAATTCGCCCCCACATCCGCATCCACCGCGTTTGTCAGGGAGAACCTCTCGCCGGCAGGGGTTGCCTCTGAAACGTCCAAATGCATCGTCTTCCTCCGGAAAACGGGCGCGTTGTCATTGATGTCCAAGATCTCCAGCTCAATGTTGAAAATGCGAACGGGATTAGAGAGGATGACATCCATTTTCAGGAAGCAAGAGGTCGTTTTGGTCATGCATATGCTCTCCCGGTCCATTCTTTCGCGGATGATCAGCTCCCCCGTGTCTTTGTTGATGTCCAGGTAATTTTTGCTGTGAATGACATCGAGCTTCGCGTTGCGCTCCAACAAACTGCGAACATCCAGACCGAGATCTGTGGCTAGATTGGCAACAAAGGAACCCTCTTCCATTTCCTCCGGTATGGAGTAGCGGGTGATGGAGAGCGCAAAACCCCACAGCGCAACGAACGTGATAAATGCCAAGAGCGGATGTGTCCGTGAAGGTTCATAATTAAGAGCCATTGTGATCAGTAATAAAAAGATTGGTTTGACAAAATATGTCCTTACGAGCGGGTTGTCTTCATGCAAAGGAGCGCCAAAGACATTCTAGTTTCCACGAGTTGTAGGAGCCGCAGCAGCAGCAGGCCATCTGAGGTGTGGAGCAGCTGAAGGAGCGGGGTGCGCTCTGACAGCACAGGCAGGGGCGTAACACAGAACCCGGGGGTTGAGGGGCCGTCCATGACGATTTTAAAATGTGCCCCCCCCCCCCCCCCCCCCCCCCAAAAAAAAAAAAAAAAAACTCGGCTTTTTCTTAAATTAATTATATTTGAAAATAAGTGTTTATATCTTTAAACATAATTAACTGCAAAAACAGTGAGATATAAATGGTTATTTAGATTCCTCCAGTCCAATAATGGAGCACAAAAATACATAAATGAATATCAATGTTTTTTTGTTTTGTCTTGCAAAGAAAAAAAAGTAAAAAAATGAACAAAAAAAGCACTTTTGAAAACAACAAAAGCACTAGATGAACCAGGAAAGAAGATATGAAGAATCATGTAGGCCATAAGACAGTAACCATTAACAGTAAACTTTGTGTATCCCATGGAGCACTATTAAATCTGTAATCTGAAATGCAAAGAAAACCTATTACCAAAAGTGATAGGCAAGCCATATATGTCAGCGAAGTAGCCAAAAGGCTCGTTGTTACTTTGAAGGAGCTGTTAACATGCAAAGCTAAGCTTTGAGAATCTGTTTATATTTACAGTTGTGTTTAAAAATGTAACATTTAAAGTAAATCAAAAATAAAATAACAAATCAAAATTATGACACTAATTTTGAAAAAAAAAAACATATAAACAAAACATACAAAAACACACACACACACACACACACACATATATATATATATATATATATATATATATATATATATATATATATATATATATATATATATATATACAATAATAAAAGAAGTAAACAAGTCTGATGCACTACAATTTTGTTGAGAAATCAGGCATTTTTGTAATTTTTGTTTGTTGTCTAAGAATCATTATCAAAGCACATAGATCAGTAAGTTTCATTTAGTATCTTTTATTTATTACTACTGTTTCAGTTTTGTGTTATTTGCATTACTAGTGTGAATTGATCATTTCCCTTAAAGGAGAAGTCCGGTCACATTCAGAATATAAACATCAGACTTTAAGTATGAAATTATTCCTTTTAATAATAATAATTGTTTTTAATTAAGAGTAATTCCATTCAATTGGGTCATATGGGGCATCTTGGTTAGCTTTTGTTGCTGCCTGCTAATTTTGTCTGCAGTATTTTGCTTCTACTAAACATCAAAAATAATAAAGATATATTACTATATACTAGAAGCAAAGTGTTAACTTACCAGTCTACTCATAAAATTGAGAAAAGAGAATCGGTTTTACATCACCAACAAACTCCTTTCCAAGATCGATTGCTGTTTTTCCTTGTGCACGATCCCTTTCTTATTGTTTTTTTTAGCCTAATCAGAAGGTTTAAACTTTTTCCTTGCCTCAGCCATGAGCAGTAGTTGAGCAGGCGGAAAAATAGTTGAGCTAAAGCCTTAGCTCCATGACTATATATAAGAGCCTGTGGAAGTAAAGCAATATGTTCTTCCAGGTCACATGATCTGGCCAAGGACGGTGTGTCTTCTCACAACTTACATAGTGGGTATTTTAAGAGGAGAGGCCGGCTTGTAGCATTGATTGTGTCAAGTGCTACATATTGGCCTGAGGAATTATTTAAAATAACTCATATACGTCAACTCTTTAGGTCACAAAGTCTGAGGTGTACCTTGAAAGGGGGGGTATGTAAACTTTGAAATTCAACTGTAAATGTTCTGATCAGTTGGGACAAATTTCAGTATTTCATGTGTTTATGTGATGGAGAAATTAAACTGCACATCACCCTAAACATTACTATCCTAATCACAAAACATGATGGTGATAACCTTATATGCGAAGATTCTTCAGAAGGGGTGGAAAGCCAGTCAACTTGATGGAAAGATGACCAACATGATTCAGGCAGGGGCTGAATGCAAAAAATTAGCATACATTTTAGACTGCCTTTGAATAGAACATGAAAACCACAAACACTTTTTCTTCCTTTTTAATATTATGAAGCACATTGTGTGTCTTTAAAACACACAATTCAAATAAAATAAATTGACAAAACTCGTAAAAGCTGACAAAATATAAAGACTGATATTTACACCTTAAATACAAATTTTAAATTAAGATTTATATGTTGTAAGTGCATACGTTTTTACCTAAAATGAACTCAGAAACTTTTCTTCCTTTGCCGCTTGCTTCTAGCATTATGGGAAAATATTACTCATGTCTTTCATATTTCATACCTACACAACACTAATCTCCTTCTTCCCCTTCACCCCTGTTATACCATGAATGCTCTCATATTGTTTTTCAACCGTCTATTGAGCATCCAGCTAAGTACACACACACACACACAGTATTGGCTTTTCTTCGTCTCATGACTAGTTCCTGAAATCCTATTGTTCTAAATATATGAAAACTATATTAATTCTAATACTGTCTTACTAGTTATTAGTATTTCTTTTCATGATGGTTAGACTATTTGATTATATGTTACGATTGAGGAGATTCTGATGCTCCAATAAGAAGCTTTCATATGAATCAGTTTATTGCACAGTTTAGGCTACAAATAAATGTTTACCAGTATGAAAATACTATTTCTTTTGACAGAATAATGCAAGATAAATAATATATCAATATTCAGTCTGTATGTAACGAGTTTCACTTCTTTGCTAACCCCTTGAGCCAGAATAAATAGTAATACGTTCATACATAGACGAGGTGTTTTAATGAGTCTAGTTAGTCCAGTTCAGGGTCAGAGAGAAATTCCACTCTGTTTAAACATGTAATGCGATAAATTGCATTTAAGTACAAAAAAAAAATAAAAATTGCACATTACCTATATTCTTTTTTTCCCTCTTCTCAGCATCATAAAATTAGCTTTTCAGACAAATTGAAAATTTCAATGAGGAAACATGATTTATATAAACAATATTAACAAATATTAATTTATTTATTTACTTAAGCTTCTCTTTATATAAGGTTCTGAAATTAATAGTAATTTTAATGTTTAATTAGTTTAATGATACGAAAACTATTTAATAATAGAATTGTAATTATCTAATTTATAAGCCTCTTTAACATCCTAATTGAAAGGTCACATATCAAATAGCAGATGCCTGTTTACATTCTCTGTTATCACGGAAACAACAAAACAATCTTAAATCAGAGGTAACCGGAGTTTGGCTCATTTTTCCCCAAAGACGTTTCAATGCTGATTCAGGAGTCTTTGTCAATTATTTTAGGCTCGCGCTTATATAGAGGACCTTAGTAATTGTGGCAACATTTACCTTTGCATTCTCGCCATCTGGTGGTATAATAGAGAATTACAGCTACCCTATTGATAATTGAAACAATTACAAAAAGTTGTTCTATAATTGTATTATTGTATTATCATTAATGATAATAATGATGATGATGACAATAATAATAATTAACAAGGAACAATTCATGATTGATAATTAACACAATTCATATAATCAAAATCTAAAGCATAATATTGTACCATAAAAGCAATTGCTCACAGAAAGCCGATCACACCAAAAAGTTGTTAACTAATGAAGCCTGGTTAAAGAATTTAACTAACATATTTATCTATTCATATTATATTAATTTAACAAGTGATTTATTGAATGACTTGTAGCTGTGACTTTTCTCTGGCAATTATAATTCTGAAACTAAACAAATTTGCACTTTTACAACCTTTTAAATATGTCTAAAATATTAAGTGTGGGTACAAAATTGTGCCATGATATTTCACCTTATTAAATTAATAAATTGTAATATACAGTATTATAGCCTGGTTCTTTTAATGCAGTACTTCCACAGGAAGGAAAAGCAAACTGACACTTTTAAAAGTGAGAACAAATGTTTTATAGACTCTACATAGGCCTATTTATGCTTCTCTGTTTTTATTGATTATTCATCAAACAAAAACTATAGACATGCAGCGATAATACTTGTGTTTTAAGGTGAAACAATATCACATAAACACAAATATCTTAGGTGGGAACATTTTAGTCTGCAACCTTTAATACAGTACAACAAAACTGCTATGAGACCTACCAGAAATTGAAAATCAGTGGGGAAATAACGCCCTCCAGTGGGCATTGAGTGGCAGCTCGTATTCCCTGCCAGAAAACAGTGTTTTGTTGATTAAAGGCAAATGTCAGACATTAATTATCTTAAATCCCTTAAAGATGTATAGCATGTTAATCATAAAACAGGACTTTGTAATAAAGTTTTTAAATAAATTGCAGTCTTGGAAGCATGTAGCTGTAGGACTATCAGGAATAATATTTTGAATTATTTACTGTCACGAAATGTCAGTGCCGAAAGATCGAAGCTTTCTATCCATCTGACATTATTTTCCAAGGCTTTGAAACACATTCAGAGACTGGCCTATAGCTGTCAGAGTTTTGACAATGAAGCTGTTCACTGAGGCGGTCAGGCTCAAGCAAGCTCCAGATTAACCCAGTGGTCTGTGCTGGCTCAGTTAGAGGCAGTAGATCTTAAGGATAATCTCTGTTGCTGCAGTTTAAAATCTAAGCTTTGTTGAGCAGAGGGTCAGGAGAAAGGTTAAAATCCATTTTTCGCCTTGAAAAAGCTCTCTTTTCTCTTTTTCCCACCACCAGCTTATTTGTCTTATTCCATGGCTAGAGCTGTTGTCTTTAATTTGCAGAAAAGATAAGAAAGCTTCCCAATATTCATTACAACTGTGACTGTCATTGCGTATAAATCAAATTAGGAATTGATAAATACTGAACAGATGTACTTAATTAATAAGACTGAAATTTAGCTTTGCTTAAATCAATGAGCTACAAGAGAAATAATAATTCTTTAACTTTTCATAAAGGGTTGTATCCTTTAACTGTTATATAATCAGTAAGGTCTGTTGAGAACACAGTCTGATTTTGCCATTTTTATAGACAGCCTGGTCAAAAGGCAGTGTATAGTGTACCCCTTGACTCTTTCAAATGTTGGCACGCTTGTTGTTAACATATTTACGTTTATACTAAGTCTATAGGTGCACCAAAATCTCCTCTCAAGAAGAGA